CTTTGCCTCAACCCATAAACTGTCAGAGGCAGTAGGAGAGCATGAACAGATGGACAGAAAGAGGGAAGAAGTGAAAGAAGAAAAGAAAAGGTGTCAGGCATGAATAAAAGCAGGACATGTAAGGGTAACAAAGCAGCTTCATAAAAAAAAACAAGAAGGGGAAAAAGAAAGAGCAGATCAAAAAGAAGAAAAGAACAAAAGAAATGGGAACAAGATGAAAAGAAGAGCAACGTTTGAGGAGGGAGAGAAAGGAGTTGGACGGAAAAGAATGGAGGACAGGAGGCTGGTAGATTAACATTTATTCAGTGTGCTGAGGGGATCTCAAACATGGCATCAAGCGTTTGTGTTTGGCAGATGGCCGGAGGAAGAGTGTGTTAACACTTCAACTCAAATCAGCCCTTTCCAAACTGTTCCAGAGAGAGCCAGAGGGAGGGAGAGCGAGAGGTGGCACAAGTTTGCATTAGCGTGTGTGAGAAGCATTGCAGAGAAATGGCAGGATGTGAAATACCCTCACACGGATGGAACAGTCAGTCCAAACGAGGGAGGGTCACATTCTGAGAGTTTAAAATCTCACAGAGCCGGGCCAAACATTTAGGTCCGTCTGCAGCTCTCAGCTCGGGCTCACTCAGCGTTTGCCTGGCTTAGAGGTGATGTGGATACATGGAGACCAAATTTACCCAAGATGCAACATCAGACTTTATCCAATACCACATATCACTAGAATCTCTTCTTGTCCCGAAACAGACAGATTTTCTAACTGTTTTAAGATATTTTTACAATATCATACAAAATTTCCTTAAAAGTCCCCACTAAAGAGATTTAAGTGGAAAATGACAGGTCAATTTTATCTTCAATATGTTTCATCACAAATTAGTAGATGGCTGGATGTTACTGACATTAAAAAATAACAATAATGTCTTAAAAAAGCCTCTGATGCCTGTGTCTGGATAAAAGCTCCAGATGTCAAGAAATTCTCTTATGCTTGGAAATACAACCAACCTCCATGGGAGGCAAGTAGAATATTAAAAGCCTTGTGAGGAGTCTTCATGTATCCGTTAGTTTCAGCGTCAGGATACTGTGACATCTCTCCATCCCACATAAAGAACAAGGGGTTTCACAGTCCCAACACTGTGTCATAGAAACCCAAACATGACGCCTATCAAACTGCATTAAATCCTGCTAATGCTGCCTAAAGCCTAAACAAGTCATCTTCTGTGTCTGGTCACCTTGTTTTCCATAAATGTTGGATTCTACACCAGCTGCAGCTGCGTTTCCATTAACCATATCATATCAACTACAAAGAAAACAGTTTTTCACATCACGAGTCACATGATCAGCAACTAGACGGTGCTGCTAGCGCAAACCTAAAAGAAAAAGACGACAGGAAGTAGTTGGAGGATCACAACGTGGAATGATTTTAATGGTTTATTACACAAAAAAGACTCGTTAACGTGTCACTTTAATTGCATTTCTTATTTAATGGAAACACAGAAATTGTGTTTTTTCGACATCAGCAAAACATTGACAAAGTTTTGCACACATTAGTAATGGAAACACAGCTTTGAGTAACACCATCACTCCGAATCCAATCATTTACACACTCCTTAAAGTTATGCATGTGGATTCACCAACATATTTTCATTTTGCGTTGCCATGTTTTTGTCAGAGCAGATATAGATACAGTAGAACAGAGAACTGGCTTGAATACGAAGGAGCATGAGAACAAGGGCAAGTTCGCTGGTGTTTCTGACACTGACTTGGATATGAAGTCGGTGTTTGACTATAAATTTAAACAAAACAGATGTCTCCTTTCTCTGCAGTTTCTAAACAGTCGAGATGCAACACTGCATCTATTCATACCAAACTGTCACATCTCATTCTGTCAAAGTCTGTGTTAGTCGGTGTTCATTCTCATCCTAAAGAGTCTTTACTCAAAATGAAAACCTTCAGAGGGGCAGAATTTACCACGTATTTCCAGCCACATAGTATCATTTTATAGAACAATCAAGTAAGTATGCCGGCTTCCGCTGTTACAAAAATGTTGTTTATCAAACATGACTTTGAGTCAAGTTTGATCCCTTGAAATTGAACCTCTGTCTCTTTAAGAAGCTCCTGTTCTCTCCGACACTCTGCCTCATGTTGACGTCCTCACATCAACATTCCTCTATTAAGTGTTTACAAACCTACATCTGAGCACTGGACTGCGAAATAGTTCATACAATGAGCGCACTTCCACTAGGTGTTTGCTAACTGCTGCTGCTGCTATTTTGAAGGAGCTGAGTGGAGGAGGGGCAGTTTGGAGGCGGCGCTTAGTTCCCCAGAGCGTTTCACAAACCCAAACAGGACATTCAAATAGTTCTTAAACATGCATGAAATAGTCAAATGCTTTTGATGAGGGAATAACATTATAACATGGAATAAAGCTAAATAAAAATATATATATTTTACACAATACTGCCCCTTTAAAAGAACAGACAACAGTACAAAACTCTTTGCATAATTTTAAATCAGCTAACTATAAATATGGATGGTGAAATTGGCTTCTGATCATAAATCACATAGACCAGTTCAAGCTTCAGTCAAATCTGTTTGCATCAACACTTTATGATGCAGCCTGCACATACAAGAGCAGGCCTCCTCTGATTAACCTCACCGTGGAATCAAAGAGCCCACTCACCGTTTCATTAGGCAAGAAATGTTTTGATGCACTTTTCATGTGAAAACAGGACAGTTTACCTCTTACGGCTTAAGACCAGACATGGAGAGGTGATTTTAGCCTTGCATACGAGGAAAAAAGCTTGCATCCATTCTGAGAGCTGGAGACAGTCAACCCTCCTGTCTCACCACATTTACATGTTCTAATAAAGACACGGCACAAACTCGTTTGCCCCAGGGCCTTTTAAAACATTTTCTCAAGAAAATTAGCCTTTGTACAATCACAGCAAGCAAGATGGACAGTTTCCATTACTAGGCCCTTGTAATTAAAGGATTTGTACTAATAGCAAATTTATCATAATTCCTGTTGGCTATCAAGTCTTTGACAGGCTATTTCATTCTGGCGCTAAGTTTCATATTAAAGCCTTCAGGTTAGTGCAGTGTCTTTGCCGTGACATCTAAACCCTCATAATGAAATATGTCCACAGTCCCAGGCCTGTGGACACTAATACGCACTAACCGTAAAATATGAAGCCTAAAATGCTATGCATATGGATCATGCTGCTTATGCTGGCAAACAAGTAAACCATAAAACCTTTTAAAACTTAAATCAAACAATCCGTTGTTGTTCCAGTGTAATAGAGACATGAGGTTTCCTTATGCAAGATAACAAGCAGGCAACGACTGAACGTTCAATCAGACGGACATCGCTGGTGCATGGAAAAGGACACACCGTTATATTCAAATGCTAATGCACACCAACAACCACACACACACACACACACACACACACACACACACTAATCTTACATGCAGTCCTCGCTCCGAATATCATTACTGCAGTCCGTCTTTGCACAGAAATGAAGGCTCATTTTGACAAAAGTCTCTGTGAATAAAATAGCAGCTGCAGCCTTTGATCATTAGGCAGGATTGAAAGAAAATCCCTCTGCAAACTGAAAGCAATTCCTTATTACTAGGTTTCCTGTATTAGACTTACACAAGTTTGAAATCCAAGTATCAATGGTGTTTAAAAGTGCATTAAGACAGAAGGTAGGCAGCAAAGCCAGGGAATCAGTTTTTTCTAATGAACAGTTTCAATTCTTTCTTTCATAGACAAACATGAAACATTCATATTGTTGTAGATTATAATAGAATAGAATAGAAATGTATGTTATTGTACGCACATCACAATTTATCTCTGAATATTAAAATTTAAAAATGAGGAAAAATTCAGATCAAAAGAAATGTGGGACTATTTCAAAAATTGTACAGGATGTGTATGTTGTTTTAGAATATAAATACATAAATGAATAAAAATATTTGAGCATGGAAGGAAGGATCTCCAATAATGCATCTTCGTGCATCCCAGATATGGCAGATATTTTTGTCCAATAACTATTTTATTAGTTGTGGGACTCGATTAGAAAAGAAATTGACTTATTTGCAGGGTCTGTAATGAATTAACTGCATTTTAATAAAGAACAATTCAAAAAGACTTTTAGGAAAATAAATTATTGAGTAAATAAACACATGAGCTCTACAATACTCAAATCTTCACAAAGGCTAGAAGATAATAAAGCATCTCTGTGTCTTAGAAAATGAGAATATTGCAAAAAATAATATTTTCAGAATGTCATGGGTATAGTGTCTCATATTCCCCTGCAGAATGCCTCATGGATTCTCTTTGGGTTCTGGTCGGGTCAGTTAGCTGAAAATAGCACTATGATCATTGGACCAGCTTTCAGTGCGTTTGGCAATGTGGGTCAGTACAAAGTCCTGCTGGAAAACAAAACCAGCATCTCCATAAAGCTTGTCAGCAGAAGGAAACTTGTAGTGTTCTAAAAATCCTGGCAGATGGCTGTGTTGACTGTGGAGTCCAGAAAACCCAGTGGACCAGAACCAGCAGACGACATGGCACCTCAAATCACCACTGACTGTGCAAACGTCACGCTGGACTTCAAATGCCTTTCCACTCTCGCTCCAGACTCTGGGACCTTGATTAGATGCAACTTTTACTAGACAGCTATTGTAGATCACAGTGTGTAGATCCACACTGTGAAATGATGTCACACGTAAGGGAAGCTTGGTAATACTTACAGGTGTTATTATTTTCTTTAAGTAATTGTTAGTCCCTTTATTAACTGTGACTAAAGGAAATTAACAGCTGTGATAATTTGAACTCTGCTACAGTAAAAAGAGCAAAATTAACTGTTGAGATAAAGAAACCATATTAAACCACACCCATCTGGCCTGAAACACAATCAAACCTTAACATAATTTAAGGCTCTCTGTAAAACAGACAAAAACAAAAAAACAGTCTTCACTAAAGTCAGTGCAGTACTCACATGCGATGATGTTGCCATAGCGGTTCTTGTTGCGATTCTCGTCCTTCTTGGCTGTCTCCCAAGGTGCTGTCTGTCCCTCCGCCAGGGCCTGCAGAGGCACACGTAGACATGCATGGGTTCATGTGTGCACAAACACAAACTGTCATGAAACCAAGAAGGAACACACAATAATATGCATGCACATATGGTGGGAACCCCGGAGCTCATGCAGCAACACTCTGGCTGGCGTGAGTTGAAACTGCAACATGAATATGTATGAAGAGGCATCACTCTGGTGACACCAAAATGGGGCTTAAACTCTCTCTACAATGGCAATCTGATTAATCTTATGAAAACATTTCATTCAGAGGTAAATCAGGAGTAGTTCAGAGAAGTCAGGCATCTTCTGGGATGTTTGTGAACTCAAAAAACAAAAACAAAAAAGAAAAAACGGCACCAGTTCCCTCTTCCAGCCTGGGCAGTGGAAACCTGCTCTCACTTTTTGCCAAAACCCAAACAGCAGTAAGCAGAAAAAAAAATCTTACCAAGCATTGTGGTTTAGTTCCTATCGCAAAAATCTTATTACACTTGAATTAAGACAAAACTAACTTACAGGTAACTTTTTCACAAGCTAAAGGAGATTGTCTTAGGTCAATAATAAGTAAATATTTCACTTATAACAAGAAATCTTTCCTATGTAATAAAAAAATAATCTGCTAGTGGAACTAGTACATTTTATCAATGTTAAGCAATTATTCATGTAAAACAAGCTCATGTTGAAAAGTTAGTTTTATCTGAGTTATTTGCACTAAAAACTAAACCAAAATACTTGGCAAAATGTTGTGTTTTCAAATTGTACAGTGAAAAAAAGGTACAAAACGAGAACAAAGTTAGTATTTATTGTCCTCCTGGGTTCCAGTGAAAGAATATTTACTCATTCCTTTGTTAGAGGAGAAAAGGCAGATTGTCTGCGCTCCCTGCTGAGGCCTGGCCTGTGTGACAAGCATTTCAGACGCAGCAAGGACAAAACATGCATGAGCCGCTCTAATGTGGGTTTCTGCTTTATGCATTCTTCATCATGCACTTTGGTGAACAAACTACTGTACTAACACCCCATTCAATGTATGTTGGATCATATACGCATTTATTATTTTTGTTGAATGCACTTTGAGTGGAAGAGGATATGACAAAAACGTCCTTTGCAAGCATCTGTGGAGCAACTAAACCCCAACTCTCAAAGGTTGCCATATGGACGCTGAACTATTTTAGAACAACTCCTCCAACGCTCTCAGGTCACTCGTATGCTGAAAATCTCCCAGTAGGGACAAGTGAACAGCCCCGTTTTGAGTCCATTAAGGGCTTAAGAAGGCCAGACAACAGCTTTCACTTTCAGACAGTGATCTGACCTACATGCACACACACACACACAATAAATGCAACGAGACAGAAAAATAGACACCTAAACATATCGCTTAGTCAAGCAGAAAATTGATTCTGGCACATGGAATTTGGAGTTTGGATATTTTTGTGTGTCCAACGTTAAATACTGTAGATTTGTTTCTATCCTAAAACAAAAATAGGCAGAACAACGTTAAAGGTCTGTGTGTGTTTTTAACTATGTGAATGTTTAACCTAACCGGGTTTGTCACAACAACACATTTAGCTGGACTATAAACTGTAATTATTTCAATACACAATAATATTGTTGTTCTGAGACAACATTTAATTGATAATGGCATAAGAATACCAGTTCACCTTCTCAAAGATCAATAAATACTTTTGTAAACATCACCTTATGCTGAACTGGAAGATATTTTAACGCAGCCACAAAATGCAATTCATTAAACGGAAATAAAAACAAACATGATCAAAATCCTAAATAAAATGGATTATGTTGTCTCTGTAAGCAACAGAAAACGATCAATCTCATTTTAATTTATCATGCGGTTAATTGATTAATTGCTTCCTGCGACAGGCAACAGCACTTTAATGCCTCCCTCTCTGCTTCCTCACTCAGCTCCTCCAGTGTTGGTGTCAAATTTATTTATATAGCACTTTAAAAACAGGTTTAAAACGGCACCAAAGTGCTGTACAAAAATGATAAGAAAGCAAGTTGGACTAGACTAGTGGCTGCAGCACTTAGCAAACACCTGGGCTAAGTCAAATTTCCTTTAAGTCATGTTTGATATACACATCATTTTTATGCTGTATATAAAACCAACTGTAGGTAACAGTCACTTGATTGTACTATAAAATGGATCTATATGCCTGCAAAACACTTCAGTTGTCATAAAAACACTAAATATGTCAAATTTGACTTAAGAGAAATGTTACTTTGTAATTTAACACTTTGATCATGTCTCTTTAAAAACTGCTCTTTCTGAAACTCTGCCTCCAGGAAGTCCTTGATTAACCCTTTAACAATGTTTTTACCAGTGTTGCACTCAGAAGTAGCTCGTAGAATAAGCTCAGTGGATGTGCAGTTCCACCAGGTGTTTGCTAATTGCTGTTGGCTAGTCTTTAGGAGCTGAGTGGGGCGGTCGCAGGGGAAGGCAGCTCTGGGGTGGAGCTTCGTCCTTAAAAGCAGAGCTAGGTCCACTCGGGTGTTTTTCAGCTGCATGGTTGCCATGGAGATTAAAGGATTTCTCAAACATGCATGAACGAACCAAGACAACATTCCAGGCATGTTTTTGATGGGTTGAAAATAAACAAAATAATGAAGAAACTACATATAGAGATGGAAATATGGGCAATCTCCTTCCACCAAATGTCACACAGCACTATACCCAATCAAGCCACATATTTTGACATGTCTTCCAACTCTAAGAGGTAGAGAACTGAACATTCAGACAGTAAAAGAAGGAAAAAAAGAAGAAATGTACCAAAATGTTGAAGCTGCAGCTCATCCAAATGGCACACTGCAATAACCTAATGGCTGCTTGATTTGTTTCAGGTGCCACATTTAAAAAATAAGTTGGGTTTTACTTGAAATGGAAGAAGTGTACTCCCACTGGGGAGCAAAATGTTGACAATGTGGCTGCTGTCAATGTTAGTGAGGTTAATCGGTTTCAACACAGTAGGTCACATCACACACAGAGACGGGGACAAAAAGACGCCATATGGGGTGTGTAAGCAGACAGAGGCAGCCACTGCACTGGGGACCGAAATGTGACCATATACATAAATACATAAGAGAAGCACTGCTGCTGTGCTGAGGTGTGGGCTACATTTATGAGGCAAAAGGACATTTTCTTCTCCCCTCATGGTCATTTATTCACATCAGTTCACTTGCTGTTTCTTGCCCTAAAGTTCAGAAGGAAAAAAGTTGTCTAAAAGCCTCAAACCCCTTTTTTCTTTATATTCTACATCTGAGCACCCAGGCGCCACCTGAATCTCTTAAAGACAGATGAAAAGTTAAACGTTTTTCGATCTGTTTTCATAGAAATATTATTGCCTTGTTTTGTTGACTTTGTCTCTAACATTCATACTAAAGTGACTGATGGACCATTTAGGTTCAAAAAGGTTCCTAAACTCAAAGGACCAACCAGTGCAATGTTGATATAACACAGACCACCTAACAAAAATTAACCTTATAAAATATCTTTAATCTATTTATTACCACCACTCTGTAAGAAAAATAACTTTTTACCCTCTGAATGAATGAATGGAGTTTCTTGATTGGCTGGTTTGCAAACGCCAGCCAATCAAGAGCCAGCATTTTCCGAATCAGTTTCTTAAGCTACATCTTCTTTTGCATATTTTAGATATTCTCTACAAAAAGATTGGGACTAGTTGGATTTTCTGTGAATTAAATTGGAGTTAATAGCCTAAATCACAGCCAGGCAGAGGGCAACTGTAATTCCTTATAGTATTGTGGGTTTTTATGTATTTCTCCTTTTTGTTGCTGTTAGGGCCCTTTATAATTACAATAGTTATTTAAACATCTGAGGATTTCTGGATGAACTATATTTTGAAATATTAAAACTAAAACAGAAATTTTGACTTTTATGCTTTAGAAATGAGAATGTTGGGAAAAAAAACAAATTTTTAGAATATGTCATACTCTTTTCATACTTTCCATCCCTGAATATTCACAATGCAGTGTCTGTCCATTCACACTGAAAAAGACTCAGTAAAAGCTGCTCATAGCAGCCGTGGTGGTGGACGCTAATTCACCACACAGGAGCTTTAGATGTGAGGAAATAAGCCTGGATGTACATTTCCAGCAAATAGAGCAGACAGTATGTTGAACAAAATGTTGAGAAGATAAACTTCCAAAGTCTTCTAATGTGGATCAAATCAGTTGCTGCTGGAGACAAGTGGAATCATAAAAGAAGAAGTCCCCCTCTGCGCGCGCGTGTGTGTGTCCCCTCGTTACACACAGATTCACACACACTCAAGAATAAATCACATTTTCTCTCCCCTGAAACGTATCAGTGGGTTTGAAGCGAAATGACAGGAAGCAAATGAAAATATAAGTCGCAGTATCACGGAGGGACAATTTTCAACACGCATGCAGAGTCGGTAATAGAAAATATTCATTCTTCTGAGAATGGGAGGCTGAAGGAGACGAAAACAGAGCCTTCCTGGTGCCTGTCCTCACATTTATCTTCAGAGACAAAGAAATAAATCAGGATAGATTTTAAAGGACAGAGGAAGGAGGGATAGCCAAGCAGAATAATAATTAGAGGAAAGAAGAAAAGTAAATAAGTTAAATAAGACAATGGAATAATTTGAAAAATGTTCCATAATAAATGGTGCATTAAATTAATTAGTTTAATGTTGATAACACTGAAAGAGGAGGAAGGAAAAGCTGAAAATGAAGCTCACAGTTAATTTGTTCTGTATCAGCATGGTCATATATTAATAATAAATATGACCCCTTTGTCTCACATGGCAGCTGTCGCCTTCATCAACTCAACTCAACGACTTAATGCTGCAAAATGTTGACAAAATAATAATAATTACCAAGGTCTCGATTCAAAAATTGTTTTTTAATTTTATTTTAAAGTAATTGATTGAATGCTAACTGAGTTCTAATTAAACATCAGGAAGAAAAGAAAGACTTTTTATTTTTACATTGTACACTTCAGCTTTTCATAAGCAGCCTCCATTTGAGGGAACATTCATGTTTTATTCACTACATTTGTTTTCCTCCATTTCGGTCTTAAGTTTTAATTTGTCACTTCATCCAACAAAGTGTTCAGAGTCCCATAAACTTACCAACACATCCCATAAAAAGTGTTGCTTATTGTGGAAACTGTCCTGTGAATTCTGATATCAACTTTTCCCTGTCAGTAAAAGGAATTTGGTAGAACAGGTGAAAACACCTGAGCGATTCAAAGCTCTTTAACTCGCAGTGCAAACACCCAAACTCTAAATGACCTGTTGTATTTTTGCTTTAGACTTTTCTTTAATGACACAAAAGTACAGGGCCGTGTGTCAAATAAAGACACTGCAACCTGCACATCTTTTTTAAGGCTTAAGTTCTGGTCTGTGTTTCCCTCGGACTTTTTGAGTGACAGTGGGTTCCCCACTGAGCCCACTGAACCAGGACAGGTTCTGAATATCTGGTCCTTTCATTCCCCACCAGGTTCTGATTTCACTGCATCAAAGTTTCCCCCGTATTTGTTTTATTTCAGCAACTGCATCATCACTGATTAGAACATGTTCAATTGAGAATGTAGTGCGAGTCTGTGGAGAATCAGTATTTCAAGCTTTATGAAACTAACAGATTAAAAAAGCATAACTTCTAACATGGATTTATCTTTGTGCTTCAAAACGAGGGGATACGTTTTTGCTAGCTTTGGGTTTTGTCCCAGTTTCTAATGGGTTTGAAAGAGGAAAGTTGAAGCAGGATTTTCTGGCTGTAACTAGCACTCTTCAAACTCACTAACAACATTTTTGTAGTTTATGTTCATTATTTTCCCCTTTAATAATGAAGCATGTTCCATGGGAAAATGTTACAACATTGAAGAATAAAGGCAGAAAAAGACAAAAACAATCCTTAATGTGGTGTAACTACGCCAAGAGTGAGCTAATGCTTCTTAAAACATTAAAAACATTTAACCTGATGCGTCTCCCTCATATCTGCATTCATATGACCTAAAGAAAGCATAAAAAGCTTTTTTTGGCAGCAATATTTAGCTTCCCATACGTGGAAAGCTAATTCCATAACTGGAAAGCTGATTATTGCTTTACCTCGTCTACATGCTTTGCTTCGTGAGTCGGTTTGTTTGTGTGTGTTTACCTCATATTCTTCCTTAAACCCATATCCTTGTCCACATTTCATCTGTGTGATGTGCTGCAGGAGATCTGCAACTCGAATAGCTGGCTGGAACTGGCCCGCCTGGAACTGACCTGTGGGATCAAAGCCATTTTTCACACAAACTGTTAAAATAATCTGGACAGAACTCGTTGAACAAAGTGTGAAAAACAAAGTTGTTTCTTTTGGATCAACTCCTTTGGCTTTAATGGACCCTAACCAGCCTGTCAAGGGTTCCTTAGAAGCAGCTAAAATTCATATCAAATTAAACGTGGACAAACATTCAGGCCGGTAAAAGTAGCTCCATTGTTTGTGTGGATTTATGGTGGTTACACTCTGAAAAACGACTTCCTGGTTGGAAATGCAACAAAAATAACAGCTGAAGCCTGAATTTTGACCATTAAACTTTGAGCTCACCAAGAAACCCAAAGTTCAGTTCCAATATGGCTGCCATTTCTCACCAAAAAGCACCAGTGGGGATGAGGTGCTGTTACATGAATTCAGTTCAGCCCAGATTGAAAACAAATGTCTGAAGAAACTTTGTAAGGTGAAGGATCCAGTTGACGTACCGCTCTGGTAGGAGAGCTCCACAGACTCACAGCCTCCGTAAGGAAAACTCTGTAATGTCAGGGATGGCTGGGCAAGAGACGGCTGGCTTCCATCTGCTCACACAATGACACAAGAATATTATCATTTTATTTTGAGACGTAAAACATGAACTGCAGATAAACATTACAGTAAAACAGAAATGGAAGAAAACCAACACAAAGTTCAGAAACAGCTAAGAAGACATGAGTCTCTAATAGAGGTGTCAGAATCCCAGTTTGTGTTTAATAAATAAAATGAGATTCTGTTCACTGCTGAGGTCTTATGGTGACTGACATCCAGTCAGCTCACAGACTGGATAAATGGAAAGTGTGTCGTCGTCTTTGTCTCAAGAAGGAAAAAGATGTGATGTGAAAATGCATGACTCCATGAATCCTTAGTAGAGCTAATTACATCTTAACTTCTGTCGGCTTATTAGTGACCTGAGGTAGCTTCTACAATTAATCAATAGAAACACCAGTTTCCTGTGATAAATTAAGGATAATCTGGCTTAAACAAGAGAATCCAGAAAATTGTGGTTTGTTAGAAGAGAAGTGATAAAGTAATAAATGTCTAAAATAAATCTAAAAATGACAGAAGCAGTTAGTGAGACATGATAGTAGTGGTAAAGGTAGCTATGATAGTAGTCAGAGGTAGTTATGAGAAACATTACAAGAGCAAGAAGAGAGTGAGACATGAGGGGGGGAAGAGTGTGACTGCAGAGGAAAGAGCAGGAAGTTTAAAAAAGGTCAGCTTGCTCACTGGGGGAAAAGTTCTCTGATTCAAATCTTCTGAACTTTCTTTCATTTTATTTGGCACCAAAGCAAGAGTTTGTGTCCAGTGTTGGGTCAGCAGGTTTGTTCTCTGTAGGATCCAAATGGCTTCAATAAAACCATTAAAACAGCAGCTTTATTGTTTTGTCTCAGGGCTTTAACTCCTGAAGAAGTCTAGCTTTATGAAACGTCTTTAAATTAAAGTTAACTACTTATAAATGGGTATGCTTTTGTGATGACCTCTCTTTGGCCTTTTAGATCAAAGCAGTGTTAGTTGATTCTCAATTATGCTGTGTGTTTTTCCCATATGCACAGTTTCAGCTTCTCTGTATTATTAAACTTTTTCTAAGTTATGTTTCCAGAGCAGCAGGTCAGTCCTCCTGAGGTGAGACTGCTGCTTCCAAACAGATTTTTAAAATTCATTTTCAAGAATCACCTTCCCTTAGTCTCACATTTTAAGCCTTTTTTCTTTTATCTGTGGTGAACCAGTTGTAGTGCAGCAGAGCGTAATGGGGGGGTGTGAGCAGCGCTTACACAACAATGATTGACACTGGGAGAAACCAGAGGAGCTCCATTTTTTTCACACATCATCATTTATGGTACTCCTAAACTCACGGTGCAGAAAGCTGCAGGGTGCGGCGTCAGACTTCACCTGAACCTTTAAAGCACAACCTTACATTCATTACATCTTCAATCTGAATGTTGCAACCCCACAGCTCTGCTGCATTGCCAACCTGCTAGATCTAATGTAACAACAGCTGTGGGTCAGATTCCAGTAAGAGAGGATGCAACAGCTGCACGACTCCTTCACATCCACCAGCCTGCTGACCATCATCATTTGTTAGGCAGTCTGCTTCATGAATTGCAAATGCATGTTTTTTTCTTCACCTAAATTGAGACATGTTGGTGTGCTGACCTTATTGTGACGTTTAGGGTGTTTGAAAACACATGATAAGCTCACCAAGGTCAAATATGCAGTAAGCCAGGCATGAAATGAATTCATAGCAGCAGCTCCACAACAGTGACTATGATGGAGAACATCTCAATGCTAATGGCTGGATTTATTGACCTCCAGAGGCGCGTGTGTGCATGTAGGTTTGTGTGTGACAAAACAACACTATCATGCATGAAAATGTGTGAGTTTGACTATGCAAGAAGCAGAAAATGGTGAACAGGGTTAGAAGTGTGTGCTGGGAGTTTGTGCACGTGTATGAAGGTCATTTATGCCGTCACTGTGTGTATGTTAATGCAGTCCTTCATGCTCAGTGGTGTGTGTATTATAAAGTTCCTACTTCCTTCCCTCTGACTTTATTAAGACTTAGTTATGGATGACTAGTGTTCCTTTATTGTTTCTTAATTTCTTCGACAACATTCCACCCCTATTTCTACTACGGCAGTACAGCAAAATGTGCATTATGAATTGTCAGCTGTGTATGTGTGTGTGTGCTCATCCTGGCATGTGAGCAAGAATGCAGAGATGGTTCTTGATCAGATTTGTTTGCACTGGAGTTCCACCGAATTACACACGAGGTCTGGAGGAATCGTGCATCAGCCGGTGCCTGACTTCTGACAGAGGAGGCAAATGAATGACCAACGGAGTAGTCCAAGACCCAAGAACCAGAACCACAGGAAACAATTTTTACCAGGAAACAATAAGCGATGCACTCAATCACAATGGCCACTATGCACACACTCTGCAAAAGACTGCACTTCCACTAAGCCAAAGGAGAAAATGTACAGGAACCCACGATAACCTACATTACATATTTTACTCAAGTTTACTACAAGATCCAACCAAACTAAAGACAACATAATTATAGCAGCCGCTGGATTTCTGTAAGGAACGTATCTTAATCTGTTCGCGTAAATTACAGGACGCGTCACCAGAACCTCAGCAATTAGATCCTGAGGAGTCAAACATTTACTGCAACTGAAATATAAATCATGTTAAATATTACAAGTGGATGGTAATGGCTGAACATGCAATCAAAGCAATTAGTTCAAGATGCATCTTACACAGCTTTTACCCTGAAGCTTTAGAAACCCAATAATACCCAATAAAACCCAAAGAAACGTCTGTGTACAAGGAATTTTTATGTAAATGCACTGGGTCAAAATGCAAATAGCACGCTTTGCAATCCTTTCAACATTAAAGGTTAAGAGCTGGATGCACTCATGCTGCTTGGAGTTAGGAATCTCTGCCAGCAGCATTTAGAAACAAAGTGGAAAGCGCCTTGGATGATAAGTTCATCTTTCTGCATCTCCTTTTTCTGTCTGTGAAGCATGAGGTCAAGTTCAACTTTATTTCACTGCTGAGAGCCAGGTCAATGAATTCTCTCTGGTCTGAATAAAAATCCCTTCCGATATACGAGACATTACATTTTCTAGCAGAGCAACAACGACAGACATGAAAAATGGAAACTACAAGTTCAGCTGGGCTGAAAAAACAACAACAACAACAACAAAGGAGTGCAGGTGAAGATCTGAGGACGACAACAGGGAGATTAAACATATTAGCCCAACATGTAGAGCAAACAATACAGTTTAAGGAAGCATGAGGAGATTTAGGGGTTTTACTAAAGGAATTTCAGGGTCTAAGCTAGAAAGTTGCTTGTTTTTTTGCACAAATTATCATGCAGAATACAGTAGATATGTTGGATTAATGGGGTGGAGTATGTCATAATTCTGCAGTGTATTATAAATGAAGTGAGCATAAACCCAGGTTTGGCTTTTCATACAAACATGCAAGTATGGTCAAAACCTAAAATCATATAGAGACCAAGGATATTACCAATAAATGTTTTTTACCTTCATGAGCCCAGAAATCTGGTTTAAATGCTTGTTAAACCACAACAACTGCTCTTATATGGAATAGCTCATCTTGCTAGGAAAGTGTCTTGTTAGAGGTTTTAGCCAATTTTACATAATCAATATTATTTGTTTCTAGATTGATTTTTATGATTGGCCATTTTGACATGTTTGCACCGCAGCATATCTGCTGATTGTGACACAGTGAACCAGCCAGCTAACAGATCGAAGAGCACAGAAAAGAGCTCTGGAACGTCAGCCAGCAGCCGAGATGAGCTGGGAAAAAAACCGCAGAGGTTCAATCCTGCCTCAGAACATAAAGGTTAAAAATTACTCTCTCTCTGCTGCACTCACCTTCAATTACCCAGCAGTGCCACATTACGGCCAAACAAAATGACTACCATTAGCCATAATCACCTTACATGCAGCCTAATGTTATGCTGAACTGGACTGGGAAAATAATTGCTTTTCTGTGATGCTGTGGAAAAACTACTTCCAAAACAAGAAGTGCTGGGTGTAGAAATTAAGCACAGGTGGCATCCCGGCACCATCTACTGCAGAGAGGTTTGGTACAAAAGTGCTTCGGGTGCAGCACACTCAAAAATTATCCAGAAACAAACTGTTGCCTCACAGACGGCTGCTGGGCAACACTGACTTTTCACTTTGAAGAATTACCAAAAAAAAAACATCATTTTGCACTCCTTTCAAAATGGATAAAGACCTTTCTATGTCCCCAACAACCTATTAGTTCATGTTATTTGTGGGAAAAAAACAACAAAGAGTCCGACTCACAGAATAAACACAGCACACCTGAGTGTGTAGGGCTGAACAATGAATCAATAACAACAGATACTGCAACACACACGATCAATATCAATAGGTTAAACGTCTGGGTGAATATTCAATCATTTTACCGAACTCCAATCCAGAACCGCACGGCATTCTGGGGAATGTAGGCAGAAAAAAGAGTTTAGTCTCTCAACCTCCCACTGCCAACTAAGCAAGGGTGGTGGAATCGACTAACTCTCTGACTCTTTGGTTACCTAGCAACTCACTCACTCTTTGGTTACCTAGCAACTCACTCACTCTTTGGTTACCTAGCAACTCACTCACTCTTTGGTTACCTAGCAACAACCTTAATACCTTGAGCAGCAGCAGTTTAAGGTTTTGCTGCTGTGGCTCATACCTATTTAAAAATAAAACAAAATGACGTTGAGTGAAAACAATGCATAAAACATGAACAAATATGTCTAATTGGTAGTACTTCAGATATTTAAAACAAAAAATTAATCAATAATTGTCAGTATTGACCGATATGAAACACTTATATGGTGATACGATTTTCAGAATAACACAGTTTCCATCCTTATAGTGAAATATTGTATTTTGTAATATTTCTGACAAACTATGGTTACCTTATTAGCCAGGAAACAATTTGGCTCTTGACATACTGAAATAAGACTGGCAGGAACTATTTTAAAGCTAAGAAAGTAATGAAGCAAAAGATTGAACTGGTCTGAAAAGAAAACACACAAACAAAAGCAGCTAACCAGGCTCTCTACCTGCCACAGAGGATTTACTTAAGCTACTTGTCCCTCTCTTTGATCCTTCAATCCATTAGTCTCCATCAGCATCATCCTAATAACTTTCTCTCCCGTTAAGCCACTGACATACGACGCTCCCCGGCACCATTCAGCTTGCTGGTGCTATTATCCATTTTCACTAAGCTAAAAAGGTGTCAGAGCGAGCGCAAAGGTAGGACTGCTACTTTCAAAATGAAACCATTTTCATCCAATTATTGGATGTGGAAATTCTGCTTGTTTTAGAGGCCAGCTAGAAAATGACGGACCTAATGGACTCGACAAAAAAAGTGTTAAAAGTGTTAAATTGACAATGTGTAAGGATCAATAAAGCTTTCTGTGTAGATAAAAAAGGATTTTTGGTGACCAACTGTGATTATTAATTTCTACATGTTTAAATCCTTTATTAGCATATGGGGATAGCATTTCCTTTCTTTCCTAAGGGCAAAAATCAGGCTGTTTTGTTTATTTCTGTAATTTATGGTAATTTTCAGAGACGATATCAACTTAGTGTGCTTCCTTTTTATAATGAACGTCAGTATGAAAGTAATTAAAGTGGCACAATTAATGAACTCACAAAAACACCAGAATGTTAATAAATGGAAGTTTTATTTGCTGCTGTAATTACAATCTTGCCACCTTAAATTCAGACCTTGTTCACTTTTATCTTCATTACAACTCAACCTGAAAGGAACATTGTTTTTTATTTTTCTAAACGGCGCATTTTTCAGTTTGATTTTCAGATTTTCACCTGTTGTTTCCTGGTGCTACTATGTTTTCCAGGCTACAAATCGCTGGCGGTTTAAAGACTAACTAACTAAAAGCACAAGAACGGGTCACCAACCAGAATCAGAGAGCTACCAATAAGGTAGCAGGATATGCTGACATATTGGTACATTTGTCTCTGATAATAAGTTTTCTATTTTTGCTAATAATGATTATAATTATTGAACTAAACAAACACTGACAGATCAGACGTCAAGGATTTTATTGACAAAAAGCATCAGTAGAAGTAGTTTTGTATTTTTCCTGCTAAAGCATGCGTTTGTTCCAGTCTGACTTCAGCTTCCATTGTTTTGCACTTTTGTTGCAAGCAGCTGATTTTTCTGTTGCCATGATGATCAAACCTCTGTTTTATGTCTCCTGATTTTCAGACTAATTGTAAAGAGAACAGATGGCTCAATTAAAACCTAATGTCACTGCATGGAGATGTATGGCACCAAATTTCTGCCAGTGCATAAATCACCCAAGCATCTTTTTGCATTCTGCTTCATCACACCCTGACGTGCATCAGCAAATGACAGAGAAACCTGCAGATAGGTGGGGAATAAAGCAGTAAATCAGCTGAAAATATGAGATTCTCAAATAGAGTTGTTAATGAGCCATTTTCCTCCTTTTGCTCATTTAGTCTAGTAGGTTTTAATCAGATTGACAACACATAAAGTTGGTTTATGTCACCGCTATCTGGAGCGGTATATTCAGCTCATCACCAACAGTATTTTTAGAGGCTAAAGAAGCACTTCACTTTTCTTCCTGCTACCTGCCCCGACCAGCATGACGGGAAAACAAAAAGAGGAGAAAAAAAAACAAACTTTCAGAGAATTTCATCAAGTTTTAGAAAAAAGACATTATGGGAAAAGGGCAGAGTAGAAATAATCGACAGTCACTGGTTAGGTTTTATATCTCCTGCTGGTTTTTGTGTGTGAAACTGGGTGAAGTGGCATTCTTGTGTAAAAGTCTGGCTAAACACACACAGAGCATGTCACACACTTCCGAAGGCCAGAGCCAAGCCTATTGGCAAGAGATTGATCAATCTGTTCAACAGAAGGGAAAGGCAAGATAAGGTGAACAGAAAGAAAGAAGATACCAGAGAATAGTAATGATATTGTAAAGGGGCCACATACTGCGGGACCCCGCCTTCACACGTCTCGGTATTCGCAGACTTTCCTGTGGATTATTTACAAAAAAATCACCTGTATGTGGATGTTTTTGTTGAGCACATCTAAAAAATGTCAAAGATGATGCAACTTGGGAAGATGTAATCCTGCTGGCTGGCATTTCCAAAGAAGCTAATGAAGGAGCGTTTATTATCCCTGGTGCTGATTGGCTGTAAGACTGAAATTAAGGATCATCATGGGTGTTGGGTTCTGTGGTAGTTCTGTTTCCACTGCAGGTATTAATGGATATTAATGTCTATTTCGTGTTTGAACTATTAAAATAGGCAGTTATGATCAGTTTTAGTTTCAAGTACTCTCGGACGTCAGTTATTCACATGCCAGTTTGGTCGATTATCACCGTAAATACCAGGAAATACAGAAGCACTTACTGTTGTTTGAGCGACATCAGAATGAACACAGATGATGAAGAGCTAAAAATTTACCACTGATTTTGATTGGTTTTTAATTATGGTTCAAAAACAAACTATTTCTCTTACCTATTGAAGTTGTAGCTGGAACAGGCTCTTTGGATACTGGGGAAAAAAACAGAGGGGAAACATGGATACCTGATGTTAAACTCTATTCACATCTATCTGCTGATAAAATACTCAATTTGAACATTTCAACGACAGTCAAATCTTTAAATCGCTTTAAAAACATTTTGAGACGGTTTGATCTGGATAAATCCAGAGTTCATTGTCATTTTTTTGTTAAAATTGGTAAAAAGTAGAAACACTTTTTTACTAAAACATTTACAAACCAATGACATTATTTTTGGGCTTTAAATAACTTGCTGTCATATAATGTAAATGCCAAGATATTGCATGGATTTCTGTAAATTACACATACAGGCTAAAATATGTATAGAAAACTCATAAAAACGTTTTGAATATTTTTTAAAAGTTGAACATTTTTGTCATTCATTTAGTGAAAATCATATGCAGATCCATTACAAAGTGACAGTTTTAAGGAATATGGATTGCAGATATATGAAAACCCAAAGTTCAGTGACTCACACAATTAGAATATTACATAAGATCAGATTTCAAAAGCCAGAAATGTTAGGCTTCTGAAGAGTGACAGAAAGTATTCAACTTTTCCCTATATTTACATTTTTTGAAATGTACCTGTAATAATAATACCTGAATTTCTTTGTAAGAAGTGCAAAAAGGTTATTTGGTGTGTTTCAGCTTGAAAAGAACAAAATTAATATTCATGATCAACTACAGCTGGTAGTTTCTCTTTGCCAGCATTAGAAGGATTTATGCAACAGCGTTCATTCTCATTCAAGTTGAGCTGAAATGTGCAGCTGCCCACATGTACAAGCCAAACGCCTTTTGGAGAAAGGTTTTATATTCAGATGAGTGGGAGAAAAGAAAACTCTTTGGAGAAGAGGTCCCCAAGAGTGTTTGTAGAAGTTAAGGTGAATACTTCACATGAAATATGACTGTTTGGTAGCAGGGTGTATTTCTACGTCTACTTGGACATAAATGGTACAGATTTTGTGAAGATACACAATCATTTCAAGATAGTTTTTAAATTTTTGTATTTAATGAAATCATTTCAACTTTGTAAACAGTTAATTTAAAAAGGAAGCTACAATTAGTCCAGTTCATAATGAGTGGGATTAGTTAAAGGCAAGTAAAATTAAGCAGCAGCATCTTTAAGACTCCTCCCTCCTCCAACATGCATTAGAAAACACAACAAATAAACACAGAAATTGGTGCCTAAGCATCTACAAAGATTAGAAAAAATGTCAATGTGCAAAAAACGTGTCTGAGTGTACCTGAGTAGTAGGAATTCAGCAGGGATTTGCTCTGCAGCGTTTTGCTTCCCTGCACAGAAAAGGAGCAGGGGGAGGGGGAGGCTGTGGAGAGGAGAGGCAAGTGTAAATATGACAGTAAGGACAATTAAATTATTTTAAAAAGTGGGGAAGTGCAGCAGGGCCCAAATGAAAGACATACATGAAGGTGGAAAATTTAAGATGAGGTAGAAACGGAAAAAAAGAGAATCGGTTGGGAAAATGCCAGAAAAGAGTTTTACAGCAGAGTGACCTTATCTAAAAATCAACAGTCGAGTTTCAGAGACAATTAACAATAAAAACATCAACAAAGGCAGATCAATTTTCAGTAGCATGTGGAGCAGTTCGATAACATTAATGGCACCTCTGATGCAACCAGTATTGAATTTGGAAGCACAACAGTGATTACAGGACATACACTTAAATCTGATGTGTTTCTCAGTGAGGGTCCATAATTTTAACTAGTCAAAGAAGGAATGAGAATAACATTGTAAAAACAGAGATGTTAAAAATATATTTTAAAAATGGGTTTTGGATGCAAGGAGTTAGAACCTGAGCTTGGAAAACACTTGAAATAATTTACACATCTACAAAAAGCAACATCTTGGGATGTGGACCAGTCTTTGATTAGTTCTAAAAAAGAAAATGAAACCAAACCGGAAGTACAAAAATCATCATTAAGTGTCACACATTGTTCAGTAAAAGCTACCAGAAAAATATCCAAGAAGGTCAACGCCACGACTCATTCTGTTACCCAAAGAGACACGCAGTGTGTTAAAGGTCAAGTGACAAATCTCCCAAAGAGCTGCGGTAATAATGACAGAGTGGTTGAGGCAACACCATCATTAAAACGGTGGACTTCTCCAGAAGCTTGTTAACACCAAGCATCGCAGTTATCCCTAAAGACATTAGATCCCTCATTAGGGATCATTGATGCAGCTGAAGCACCAGATAACTTATCAGTAGCAAAACCTCCCAAAGCTGTTTAGTCACTGTGCAAGTCAGTCTGCATACAGCTTCACTTTTATTAGCTAAGCTGCTTCAGAAGCATCAAATACCTTGCAGTTAGTACAAGGTATTTAATGCCTTAAATGCGTTCAAAATAGTATGCATTATTTACTATGTTCTCTATTTACTTGCATACAAAATAGTAACTTGTAAAATAGTAGGCTGAGGAAAATGGAAAATTTATGCCTGTACTAAACAAAGTGATTGTCACTAAAATACAAAAGAAAATAAGCTTTTTCACTACAAAACCATAAACTCTTTGGGTGTAGTCTCCACTGCAAATATATTATTACACTGAAATTAAGACAAAACTAACAAGATACAGGAGCTTGTTGCAAGTCAATATTTGCTTAATATTGATTTAAAAAGCATTAGTTCTACTGGCAGATTATTTCACTTATAACAAGACACTCGTCCCACGTTATAAGTGAAGGAAATTTTGACTTAAACTCCTGGACTTCACTAAGTTACTGAGAGAAACCCATTCTTTAACAAATATTTGGAGAAGCAGCAAACGGTGAGTGACTCACTTTAGCAATCTTCCATTTTGTTCAGTACAGGAGCTAGCGTTGCTTTGGTGGAAAGACAATAAGTAGCTCTAAACGAACTCTTGCACCAGTTCATCCCAAGGATTGGCTGTCAAGCTAGTCACCAGTTTACAGAGCAAAGTGGGGACCTTTGGTGGACACATCACATTTTATAACTGTGGTTCATTATGGGAACTTCCTTCCTTTAGCTCTGGCCAATGCTACCTCATTCCTGCACATCCACCACCTCTTCCACACACCCAGAGACTACTGTAGGGCTCTATAAACAAATACTGTTCAATAAGTTAAAATGAGAACTGTTGGGAGACTAACTGGAACATATTAATAAATGTAATAAGCTCTGACAGCTAGCTTACGCATTTATCGTTCATACCTGCTATTTCAGATATATATATTTCTTTCTTGTGTGGTTTCTGACAACTAGTGTGTGACTGGTCAAAAGTCTGAAGAGGCTGTTATTAAACTGACAAACCACAGATCTGTGGAACCTATGAGGACTTTACAGTAGGTCTGCATTTGAGTTTTTATGAATTATGAAAGAACTTTGTACCGAGTGCAGAATGGTATTTCTTTTAAATTACTACCAATTTAAGACTAAAAGCAGTTTATGGAGTTTTCTAGATCAAAATGTAGACCTAAAAATTTAAAACATAAATGAAATTAGTCCAAAATTAGCCTTATTTTTAATGCGTTGTGTTGTTTCTGCTCCCACCAGCATCAATGTGAGATATAGTTGGTTTTAGTGTATGGGGTCAATAATTACAGGTATCAGAATATGTGCATTTCTGTCTATATTTTTATAGTCATTTTATACATTTAAATTAGTTAATTAGATCAAAGGTTCTGAATCGTAGCCACAGTTTGTTTTTTTAATACTTGTCTTACTAATGATTTTATGCTATTCAAATCAAAATATTTGACTGAAGTACCTTTTAATAATCAGTCAGAGCAGTTCAACCATTTTTTACAAATAAAATACAGATTTTCATTGAGATAGACTTTCCATGTAAATCTAATTAAGTGGAGTGGATTTCATTATAATTCTTTCTAAAAACCTGTTTTTATAGAGACACTGTGCAGAAACGGAGCCACGTTGATTCCAGATCCTCTGTCTCCTCATGTCTTCCTTTAGTGTCTCCTCATTCTAGTGTTTTACTTATTTTTAAATAAATTCTGTCCGTGTTACAGCCGTAGATCCAAAATGAGTTTATTTGATGAAAATAACGAAACAGAATGTTTCAGTTAATCAGTGTTTACTGTAAATGAAGCATTTTGCTGTTCAACAGCAACTTGAACAGAAAGTTTTGAATTTGTCTTCCTGCTCATGGATCTGATTTACATATAATGAATCAGTTGTTTAGATCTAAAGCTGCTGATCTACTGCTGGTCTTCAGCTAAGCAAGAAAATAAGTTACAATGAAATTTCCATCTGAGGCTTTAAAGGTTTAAATCTCTCAATTTCCCATCATGTTTCATTATTACAGAAGTCTGAAAATATAAGCCGCCATTATTGACATGGTGAAACATTTGTTTTAGAATCAGTTTTCATCTTCTTTTTAATCATCTTTTTATTAATTTCCACATGTCTCATATATTTATAAAGGTGGATATTTAGTTTAATTGAAATTTTCTCAGATGCAATTTGTATTGTACTGAAATGTATCAATGTGAAAATAATGAAATTCTTGGATAAAATAGAATAATTGTTGAAGTTTTGGGGGTTGACATTATGAAGAACACTCAGTCCTGATTGCAAACCTCTGGATCTCAGAAATAACTCACCGTTCAGCTGTGTTTGCCAAGCACACAGAAATGTACCGGTGCTTTTTTAGTTTTTGGAAACTGATGGTTCTGCCTTTCTTAGAAGCAGATTCTGTGAATCTTTTCTACCTCAATGCCTCTTATTTTCTTTTCTCTGGTGTACATCACTTTGTGCTTATTGGCAGCTGAATTTCCTATCAGTCCTTGTAACAGCAGTAACATGTTTTTTTTTGTCTTAAAATTAAAGTCCTACAAACTGTTGCATGTGTGGTTTGACCAGGTTCTAAGCAACCCAAGATCAAAACCATAAATTAATTCATTTAAACAGTTTTTTCTTTGAGATGGACTTTTTGCACAAAAAATGTAACATCAGTTTAAGAAATGTTTCCCTCAAAAAAATCTAATTACTAGCAAAAGTGTTCAGCTTATTACGCAATTAGAGCATATAGAATATTAAGTTACAAGCTCTTATTTGACAAGAAAGGGAATCGTCACTTTAAAGAATTAGATAAAATATGAACAAAAAAAGAAAATCTCCTTGGCATATTAAGGAATTTTAAGCAGCTTTCTTAATTAGCTATATCATTTGACTGACTAGCCAGAAATGTCTTCTACTAACAAACCTGTTAAAACAGACGGTGAATCGCTCTGTGGGGAGCAGAACTGGTCAGTCGTAAAAGTTTGGGATGCAAGTTTAACATATAAGATGTAAGAGAGAACATGGCTGGTTAAAACTATTGTTCAGTTTTTATTTAGCATTTTATAATAGTTTGCACAATTCTCAAAGCTGCAAGTCTCTTCTTCCATTCACTTAAATTCAACAACAAAAGTCAAGCTCAATGGGAGAAACCCCAGACAGAAGACTGAAGGGAGATGAGAATCAAGCAGGATTGTGTAGGAAGACGGAGGCCAGGCTGGCTGCACCCTAGTGATGACATCACTTCCCCGCTGTGGGTTATTTAAGTTGTATATCCTCTCTTTATTATCCCTCCTTCCCTCCATCACTTCTCTCATTCTTTATCTCTGTCCCACACTTCTAATACATCCAAACAAACATATTTTCTCCTGCTTGGTGATAAAATCCCCTCGCCTTATGCAAACCACCGCTGTATGCTAATGTTCCCCAAAAAGCAGCTCAGCTTTAATACAGTCAGGAGCGTACCTGCATACCAAGAGGAATCTGCTTTGACAGCAATGTCCTGTGAAGATAGCTGGTGACTGGGTGAGAATGCAATAACACAAAAAGGTTATTTGCCCTGTGAGACTCCTTGCAGAAATATTACTGGGTCCCCTTCTCTGTGTCAGCGCTTTCAGTCTCATTAGGACTGAGCCTGGCAGAGTGTGCTGCATGCAAGTAAATGTTTGTCCATTTCAGAAAAAATACTACCAAGGCTGAATTACAGATAGGACGACACTAATTTGTGACATTGTTATGGGTAACTTTTAACTTCCTTCAGTTCCCACAGTTCCCGTATTTTATTATTTTTTTTGTGATAGACCAACAAGTGGTTCATTATGGTACAAAATTTCCTAACTTTTCACAAACAGAAATGTGCAGAAATGTGAGTATGCTATGCATTTGTATTTAGCACAACCAAATGCCTTCAAACGTCACATAATAATTCAACTCTGTCCACCTGTGTGTAATTTAATGTAGGGGAGTTTTCACAGGCGGTCGGCTCGGTTTGATTGAGGACCAACGTTGTAACGATTTCAGCTGCTGCAGTTTCTTTCACACTGCATTGTATCAAACAATCGTCCCCGTCCTCGACTTTGAGGGCGCTGTGCCAAGAACACCAAAAATAAAAAATCACAAAACCCTCTGAAGACGACACTGATGAGAACTTCCTTCTTCACAAAATTTAAACAAAAATGGAGCAGCGTCAGATTTTAGAGGTTGGAGGATTTTAGATCTTTGGTAAAAAACCACGAGCCATTTCTTCTGATAGAGCTAGACTCTCGTGTTTGTTTTGGTTGTAACTACCCAGAATGCACTGTGTTGTAGTCCACTACAGTCTGCTTTCCTGCTTTTGCTTTTCAAACAGAACCAGAGTTCAATTCAACCAAACTGAGACCTACGATTTTACGAAGACCAGAGTGCAGCTGCACATTCACACTTCCTGAAATGAAATGGACTTTCTTTGCAAACAAGCTAGAGTTTGATTAAAGTGGACTAAACAGGGCTGGTGTGAATGAACACTGAGTAAACTGAACTGTTCTGAGAAGAAATAAGGGGATTAATAGTGAATATAAATGAACAGACAGCATCCGAAGGACCAACAAAAAGTCTGTCTTAAAACCATCCTTCTGATTTTTACATTTAACTGAGAGGTTTACCCAGCATTAAAAAAATGAATCAAAAAGTTTATTTAAAGTTGTGCAAAAAAGTTTATACAAAACTACGTACTGTAGTGTATAAATGTAGAAGAATGAATTGAACCTGAATGTTCAAAATGCAACAAATGTAACATCACTCAGTCTGCAGTTTTCAGTGCAGGAACAATTTTTGTACATCAGTAGGGAGAGTTAAGAAGAAGAGTGCAGGCAGTTATGACCAGCATTAAATTGGACCTGTAGCTCTCAAAAGCCAAGTTCCCCAAAGGCCAGCGTGACATTTACAAGAGAAAAATGCCCGCCTGAGAGCAACTGTCTAATTATACCGGACACACAAATATGAGTCATTTTAAGAAGAAATATAGAAAAATGCAGTCTATTATTTTGCAAGATGCAATCTGTGAGTGGAAGAGGCAGTTATGTCTAAAAGAAGCTCAAAGTAAGATGGAAGCTTGTGACGTACTACGTTATCTGCTCACCTTGAAGTTTTATTTTTAATCAAAACGTATGTTAGTTTGGTTAATAAACCATTAATGTGTGTGTTTGACAGAGAACCAGGCAATAGAGAGACATTAATACAAGAAGCTCTTGCTTTTTTCATGCATTAGTACTGATTTGATATTAATATCTCTATTGGTTCTAATACTGAAATCTAGATTGGGTACCAGTGACAGTTTCAGATGAATAAAGGCACATCTATTCATTCTAATTCTATGTTTTGAGCTCTAAATAATGAAATGCTTAAACATTTATTTCACATTATATTTAGAATTACTTAATTCAATTAATTTTGCAAGTAATTATTTGGACTTTCAGGACCATTTGAAAGAAGATCTGTTTATTTTACGTTCACCACCGTAGTGAACTTATTGTTTTTGTCAGTTTCTTTATTCTTCATTTTACATTGGCCGTCATAATTTCACTGACTGAGCAAATTAAAGTTGGGTTGTTTTTACATGTACTGTACTGGCCAAATGAATTACTAATTCAATACATTTATGTCTGTGTTTAAAAACAGGAACATGTTACATTTTTGTCAGTGCTGTTTCTCCGTATCGGTACTTAAGTGTTTCGGTGCATTCCTGCTCGTCTTCAGGTTTCTGGAATAATTTACGGATGCTGCCAGTAACAGTGTGAATCTAGATGATGTAGAACAGATGAGTTTTACTCACTGAAGCCGTTGAGGTCTGGGCTGGAAGTGGAGAACGGGTCGTCTTTGTGCAAGGTGCTGACTTTAGTGGTGCTCTTGTCGGCCGTGGTGACCGGACCCATCTCCCTCTGCTGGGTGGAGCTGCTCGCAGTTTCCTTCTGCTTTTTGGCCAACTTCCTATGAGCAAAACAAACAGGGAAAAAAATCTAAACAAAGACGTCAAGCTTGTTAATTACGGTAAGTTATATTTATACACAGAGAGATAAAACTTGATGAGAGGTGAAATGAAGTGAATTGAGCACAGAATGAATACTTAAGGATGAAAGATATGGATACTGCAATGCATTGAATAAAGGATCCGTCGACTTGAGTAGGCCATCTTTAAAATCAGCAGTTTGACACACCAGGATGTAAACAGTTGGCAGCGTTTAACTGTCAGTTTGGACATAAACTAATTTATGTCCAAACGAGAAATAAATATTATTAACAAGAATTCCTCGCTAAAACAAGAAAATCTCTTTACAATCTCTTTGTAAAAATGAATTTCTTGTTATAAGGAGATATAATATCATGTCCCTCTGACTGATTACGACTCGTTAAAGGGCATAAAGAGACTCACTACGATCCTCCTTCTCACTCTGTTTCTTCTAGATGACATTTAAAAATCCCAGGAAGAATTGCTGTGTTACTGTTCCAACCTTTCTTATTTAAAGGAGAATAGATTTTGGTGTTAATGAGATATAAATCTCATTTTAACAGGTTTTAAATCTTGTTATGACAACAAAGTTTCAGTGTTTAAATGAGATACCACTCCTGAATTTACTTCGAAGCCTTGGCACTTGAACGCTTAAGTGAAACTGTCATCTAGTCCTCACCAGATTTTCACATCACAGAGATTAATACACGTTAAAAATAAAGTTACATTTCAGAAGCTGTGACTTTACATTCCTTTTGTGACCTCATCACTGTGTTGTGCAGGAATTTGGGCCTTCTTAACACTCCTTCAGTTTATTGAGATTTGCAGATATTCATTTTTGCGCCACTCTGAAGGAGAGTCCAAATCCCTCAAGTTCCTTTCACATTGCATGTGGAAATGCTCTTACTTTCAGAAATAAACCCAGCCTGGAGTTCTGCTTTTGGTCGTCTTCGATTTGAATTCACCAAACATTTCCATGATTATTTAGTTTTATTTTCTAACCACATTTCGTCCTCAAAGGCGATAATTCCCCGTCTTACTTAAAGTTTTATAAATATGTTGGACAGTTTTAGTCGCTAATGATTTAAATCCCATTATAAAGACTAACATCATTTCCACAACCATGATTACATAAGTTGTTGCTAGATAATCACTCATGCAGTGATGTGCAGTAGGAGGCCTGCACATTTTGCTTATCCTGGTTGCTACCGTTTACTCTGTTTGTCTGCCAGACAGCTTGGCTGCCTGCAGAGTTACTGTTTCACGTTTCCAAACTAATAATCCCATTGTAGAGTCATGAAAGCAGCGATTATTTTTGCTTTCTTTACAGCAATTAGCACAATAATGGAAAGACGATATGATTCACTGCTGACAGGTGAACATTGCAACACTGCTGCTCTTCAAAGTCGAGGCGTTTTTCAGTAAATATGTTCCGGATTTCCTAAACACATGATCAGGCGTACTTAGATAAGACACCAAGCCTGAAATTACCAAATGATAGTATCAGTAAGAGAATTAAACTTTTTAGGTAAAAACACTTTAACTGGTCGTTATGACAAGTCAGACATTCACATTTAGAACATTTATACACCTGAACCAAGTTGTACTAGTTAGATGTTGCTGTTCCCTCAGTGCTTGCATGTCCCATGTGTTAGCTGTTTACTGATGAACATTTACAGCCTCATGGTGCTTCAGGTTTAGAAACCATGAAGGAAATCAAAGTTGAACCCTGCAAACTAGACTCACAACATTCATCTCATCTTGTGTGAATTGTCTTGAAAAGTCAGAAAAACTTTGAGTCTAAAAATGCTGGAAGTGATAATTAGTGCGCTTCATCTAAAAAGAACTTTGCTTCTTCAGAAGCTTTGAGCCAGCCGTGGAAATGAACTGCCTGTTCTGTTTGGTTCTGCAGTTTGATTCATCTCTTGGACTCAAATCTTCGGCACATTTCCAAACTTACGACGGCGTGAGAAACCTGCATGGCTTCTCATATGCTTCAGGGTCTGTTAAAACACCCAGCAGCGTCTTCGTAGTCACAAATAAAATATCTTCATGGATTCTTTGCAAGCATTTTGTTTGACAGGGAATCCAGACAATATTACAAAGTTTTACATTAACAGGGTTCATTTTCTAATTAGGTGTTGAAGTGATGAAGACGTTAATAAAAGTTTTAGTGTCTCTCCTTGGCGCACAAGTCTTGTGCTGAGAAGAATTTCACAAATTTTTTCACAAATAGAGTTATATGTTGTCTGTCTGTAGTTTTGTAGAATACATCATGTACAATGTAACATTAAAATTTTAAAATAAGATATAAATACAACAAAATAAACATATTGAACATTAAAATGTCATGTATTACAATAACTGCAACTGGAACTTTAGTGTGTTCATTTCAAATATTTAATTACAGATTTTAGCGCATTAAAAATTGTTTTGCATTTAATCAGTTACATAGAAAGATCCTGGGTGGAACTGTTGTATTCATGTGTTCCTGGTACTCCCATCAATCCGACGCACAGGCAGCATCCACAAAACCTTTTCTCTTGTCGACTGGGGTTAATTTATGCTTCAAAAAATGATCTGATGGGATGCTGGTCGTTTTGTTCAAGTTGCTCTGAAAGGAGTTACATAAACTAGCGTCTCAATGCTAAACATGTGGCAGCAGCACAGCAGCACAGCAGCACCAACGCTAATGTCAGACTCCACTTTTTAAAAAAAAGTATGTTTTCAAAGCACTTTGCACCAATCTGATGGTTGAAAACCCCAACTAACGGATTTAAACAGTAAATATATGTCTAATTAATGAATTGTGCTAATTTAGCAGCACAGTAAGTTTTTTACTTGAAAATGTTGCTTATTTTGTCTCTATACTTCTCAATTAAAATGCTAATATTTACAGACAATGCAATTATTGGAATTAAGATGCTAATCGAGTCTTAAGACTAGTAATATATAAAAACATAATTTGCCACATAATTCTTTTTATACTTGGTGAAAGTGAGAGAGAAAATATCTCCTTGAAGAGACATCCAAACATTTCATTTATAACCTTTATTTTGCTAAATTTTCAGTCACTTTAGTAATCCTAAGAATGAACTAAATCCATTTTCAGCACCACAGCACTGCTTTCACACAGGCATTGCTTTTTTAAAACATCAGGATTTACTGAAACATTAAGCTTAAAATTTAGGAATCAATTAAAACAAAAAAAATAATCTGTCCTCTGTCCACTAAAAATCCTAGCTGCTCAGAAATAATCCAACAAATAGCCAAACCTTCTTTTTATCAGCACATCAACACATTTTTCTGACTTTAAGGGCTTGAAAGAGCCACAAATGGCAAACAGTGGATGGTGTGTTTGTGCATAAGCATTGACTCTTTACTGGTGTGTGTTTCTAGAGGCAGATATTTGAGCTGTGTGCTGGACATTCAGTCTTTTCGCCTCTGAGTGTTGCACGTGTCGGTTGTGTCGGGCTGCTGGTCCACGCTGGGCAGTGAGTTGGCGTGTTCCTCTGTGACTTATCACGATGCCGCCTCGTTGCATGTGTTTCTGATGGAATGAGCCGTCTCTGCAAAGCCAGTTCAAAAAGGCCAATGCAAGACAAATATATTTTGCACTGCATGGCATGATTGAGACATAAGCTCTTACTCTTCAAGAGCAACCTCAGCTAACTTTAGTAATACAAAGGTTCATATCCACTCTACAAGTTATTCAGTGAATATTAAATAGTCGATAGTTAAAAACAAAATTCTCTCTGTGCTTTTGTTTTGTGTTTTCTTCCTGGCCTCCCTTAGAGATTGAGTGGGTGAATGAAAGATTACAGTGGCTGTATTTTGAACCAGAATGGATGTGCATTGTCAAAGACCATTTGGTAATTTCAATAATATGTACCGATCAACAATATTCTGAGTTTCCTGGGTTATTCTAGGTTTTCGAGTACAGTGGACCCCCGCATGCTCACAGGTCAGTATCCACACATTTGACTATTCCCAGGTTTTTCGGATAAAAAAACCTGGGAATAGTTTTTTTATCCGCATAAATCCAAATTATTTGCCAAACATTCACATATCCACTGTATTTGGAAAGCAGCTGTTTCTTTGGCGCTGATTTGCTGTTCCCCCAAAACCGGAGATAAGGAAGACGTTCTCTGCAGCCAGCTAACGAACAAAAGACCAAATCTTAGTAGAGGTGTGTGTGCATTAAAGGGCACGCATTATGCAGAATTCACATTTTGCATGTTTTTTGTACTTCCATTTGGTTACTGCTTCTAAAAACAACTCAAATGCTTGAAAAAACAATAATTTAATGTTTTTTGGTGTTTGGAAAATGAGACATTTCAAAAACCTCCAGAATGTATTGTCACAAATAAGTAGGTGCTGCCCATTACCTACCAACCCCAGCAAAGCCCAGCCCGTTACCTAGCAACCCAAGCTGAGCTCCAGCATATTTGGTCAGCTGGTTTTACCAGGAGGCTCTACTAATGCTTTTCAAAGATGTACGGTTGTTTAATTGCACATTTGTTTGCAGCCATTTTCACATCCGAGTGTAAACATTTAGTTTGGGGGCGTGGCCAGCAGCACCTTGTTTGGATTTAAAGTGACAAAACGCCTTAAAACTGCTGATTCTGAAAGGAGCAGAATCTCATCATCTAAGATTGATTTTGTGCAGAAACTGTAATGAACATGTTTTGAATCGCCCATGGATCTACTTAACCTGTCAAGGAAGCTTCTTAGGTCACCTTTAAAATACAAATATTCAAGTTGTTTGTTGTTCAATCATTTCAATAAAGAATTGTGTAAACTGCCATTTAGTAGCATTTTATTTCTGATAAGTATTCTCAGTTTCATTAGATAATGAGGTCTAAATGTAAAATCTCTTTCTGGATTACTTTTGTCCAAAACATCAGAAACTAATCTGGTAGTTTCTATCAGCTCATTGCTAATGTCTTTAGTTTTGCTGAACAAACAATTAAACTTTTGC